GTTGACTGGCTGTTTGTTCCAACCTTCTCCCTCCCACTCCCTTAGTCTCTTCATCTCAGCTTCACTCCACACATGGCCCTCTTCCCGTTCTCTTTTACTCTGTCCCCATCACCTCCCCCTTCCCTTCAACATTCCCTCTCCCTTCACTTTTCTTTTCATTTAAACTTATCCCCTCCTAACTAAACCCACCCCAAAATTTTGTGGCACTAACACAACGTTTCCTGCCTTCACTTTGTTCACTCTACTTGTGTGTTCTACCCTTTTCCCACCCTGTATCTGTCTTATCTATTTAGTTTGTAAGCTCTTCAGGACAGCGATTGTCAACTACTCTGTGCTTACAGTGCCTAGCACAATGGGACTCCATTCTTGGCTAGTCCTTAAGCACTACCATAATAAACATGATTAATAATGGTAATAATATATTGTCTCAATTACAGTTAACTTACAATCTTCCAGAATGTAAGAAAAAATGTCACCAAATGATGCATGTGGTGATTAAGAGAAAGACACTCAGCTTCCCCAGGTAAGGCCATCTTGCCAAACTGTCACTAGATTTTGGTTATGGAGGAATCAAGCTCAAAAAACAATCAACTTATCAAATGGAAATTAAACACCAAATTTATAGAAGTGTCTCAGTTTAGATTTTTGTAATACACTTCCCTAAATTTGTGTACAATATGTAGGGTTTGCAGTGCACTCACAATGCATTCAATAGATTCCTCCATATGCTTCAAGCAAACGAATTTTTACATTTGGTATTTTGTTATGCCGTTATAATTTTCATTCTGTTTTGAAAGAGTCCCTTCCCCCTCCATGCCCCACCACTGACTCAGGATCTTAACTTTCCATGCTGAGCTAACGTAATTATTGGTCCATTCGTATTTTGTGACGTGTGTTTGAGACATACTCTCCCTACCATACTGGCTAGGATCTGTGCACTGTCATTGTTCAATTGTGAATGTTAGTCTGGTAACCTGGCATTGCTTCCCAATTTTTTGGGGTGTCAGTGAGCTAAGAGTATGTCAAGACATCACCTGCCTGCATTTCTGATCTCATTTTCTGCAAAACCCCCTACGCTCCTCTCACCTAAAAAAGATACGTCTCTCAGAAATAAACATTATGTGTTTAATGTTGTGCCCACAATGTGCTTTCAAGACAGACATGGAGGAATGGTCCTTGCCCCAAAGATATCACAATCTAAGGGATGGACAGACAGACAAGTAGACATAGGTTGGAGGAAGAGGTAAACAGTTTTAACTACACATATCAAACAGATGCTTGAGCAGAATGGCAAAAGTGGGTCTTCAAGGGGGACTTAAATACCAAGAGTGTACAGGAAGTGCAGATAAAGGAAAATTGACCACCGCATGGAAGAAGACATGGATATATTTATGCAAGAAGCGGACAGCTGGATGGTTGACAAGACAAAGCAAGAACAAGGAGGATAAGTAAGGAAGGGATGATTTATGCAGGGTTTTGAATTGATGGCCATAAGCTTGTCTCTGGTAACGTAGGGGATGTGGAGTCATGAAAGGGAATTCAAAAGGAGGAGTGAGATGATCAAAATGACAGGCAAGGAAGATGACTTAAGCTGCAACATTTTATATAGATTAAAAGAAACATGGGTGTTGGGCAGGATGCTACAGCAGGCAAAGCAGGATATAATGAGGACATGAAGGTGAGATTTAGTTTCAGGGATGGAAAGAAAAGGATGGATCTTGGATACCTTGGAGGAAGGAACAGAAGGATTTGTATTAAGCCTGGATGTCTGCAGCAAGAGGAGCTGGGCAATCAAAAAATTACCCCCAAATTGTGGCACTGAGTGACAAGAAGGTCATTCGTGTTGATGACAGTAGCATAGAAAGGAGAAGTTGAGAAGAAATATCAGTAGCCAAAATGAGAGACTGGATGGAGGGAGGATCCTTTCTTCCTTCTCATTAATACTTGCTCCCTTCCTTAATGTGTTGCATTTGTTTGCAGTGTCCTATTTAGAAAGCTCTCTGGGGCATGGAGAACATCTTGATGCTCACAGAGACATGCAATTTATAGCAATTATCCTACAGTAACTCCTCGCTTAACGATGTAGTTATGTTCCTGAAAAATGCGACTTTAAGCAAAACAAAGTTAAGCGAATCCGATTCCCCCCGCAAGAATGAATGTAAATGGGGGTGGGGGGGGGGCGGCACGCGGGGTTAGGTTCCAGGGAAATTTTTTTCACCAGACAAAAAACTATATATATACACACACACACATATACACACACACACAGAGTATAAGTTTTAAACAAATAATTGAATACCGTACACAGCAATGATGATTGTGAAGCTTGGTTGAGGCGGTGAAGTTAGAGGGTGGAAGAGGGTGGGATATTTCCCAGAGAATGTCTTACTGCAAAATGATGAACTAGCATTCGGCTGAGCCCCCAAGGGATAACACATTGTTGTTAATGTAGCCTCACACTCTACATGACAGCATGAATGGAGGGAGGGGAGACAGCATGGCAGACAGACACACACCGTGCGTGCGAGAGAGAGAGAGAAAGATGCGCATTGCCCCTTTAAGTACACTGACACCACTCTAAGTACATTGCCTTTTTAAACAGATCAGGAAGTTGAGACATCATCTGCAGCCAGCAAGCTCCCTCCGTCCTGAGCCCCCCATGTTCTATGGAGAAGGGGTTGGCAGGGAGCAGGGGGACACCCTGACATTAGCCCCCCTCCTCCCCCACCCCCGGCACAGCAAGCAGGAGGCTCCGGGGAGCAGCTCCAAGGCAGAGGGCAGGAGCAGCACATGGCAGTGGGGGGAGGGACAGCTGAACTGCCGGCAATTGATAGTCTGCTGGGTGGCTGCCACACAGGGAACTTAAGGGAGCGGGGAGCTGATAGGGGGACTGCTGATCCACCCTGGTTACAAGCCCCTACCAGCTAGCTGCAACGGGCTGCTCTTCCTGCAAGCAGTGGACAAAGCAGGCGGCTGCCAAACAACGTTACAAGGGAGCATTGTGCAACTTTAAACGAGCACGTTCTCTAATTGATCAGCAACGTAACAACGAAACAATGTTAATCGGGACGACTAAGTGAGGAGTTACTGTATTTTAGCAGTACTTTAAAAAAATATAGTTGAAGTAGGTCTACTAGAAAAGTGACTATGTAAAGATGGCACATTCTTAGTCAATGGATCTGCTCCCTCTGTGTATTAGAATCATATCTGATGACTGGAGTTATAAAGCTCGTTACTTACCATAACTCTACTTTTTTGGTAGTGTTGCCTCTGCATATTTTTGCATTGTGGAGGCACCCTCAGCACCACTGAGCTTCAAAAACCTTCTGAAAAACAGCACCCATTGAGGATGCACTATGACCTAGCAGTGAACTCAGTGTCCTTCCCCTTCTTCATCAGGTCATCCATCTTATAGCTGAAAAGACCCTCCTCCTTGAAAAGGTGGTCTGCAACACTGACTTAAGCCACAGACAAAAGGCCCAAAGATTCAAGCCAGAAGTACTGATTCCAAAAGAGCTGATGACATCATATGAGTCAACACATCTGAACCATCACAAGTTGTCAGGACTGAGGTTTGGAACTTTATTTCCATTCCTTGGCTGGTAAAACCACCCATCTGCCAGCCTGCCTACTAGATCTCTTTGGTACATGGGAAGCTCCTGGCCCTGATAAAAGAGATCCTGTGGCAAGTACTTTAGAAGCAGAAATTACCCTCAGAATTGGTTACGTTCTTGCTCCTAAAGGCTCACATCTTTGAACTGATGAGGCTTCAGAGCCCACTTAAGACTTAGGAACCGACACAAATTTCTTCACTGCCAAAGTCATCCCCGCTTTGTTTGGCTTTGAAGTCAAATGCAGTCTATTCCTTCATGGGGGCAGAAGGATGACTTAACATAGCTTGGGGTGGGATTCATAAGGCTTCTGGTTTGAGGCCACAGAGTCTCTACTGACCATTGATGCAGGCTCAAATGTGAAGACCTTATACACAGAGCAGAAATCTGGGGAAGAAATATCCCCAGGCAAAATGAAGAGCATCATTCGCATCCACCTCTGGGAAAACCAAGAGACACAATGCACACAAAGAAAGTCCCTTCTCCTGCAGCTAACTGCAGAAAGGAAGTAATTGAGAAGTATATGGCCCTTGGCTCCTGACATTTGGCGCTGCTTTTCAGAAGGTTCCCAAAGTTCAGCAGCACTGGTAGGAAGCTCATAACTCACAGGTGGGAGTACACCACAACCAACTTAGATTTTTCCAGTTTTCACCTCTGCTATCTATACTAACATTGTTACATGAGAGAGGGTGTGCTGGTTTCTATTCCTTCTTGTGCATCATTAGCAGGACTGTTTACTAAGTATCTATCAGAGAAGGCAATAGTTGTTACTGAAAGCAAAATCTGTATTACTGATGATGATGCACAAGAAAGAAAGAATCCTGTTTGACTTTTAGAGTCCACATTGGGCTTAAAAGTAAAACATCTTTTTACTTGTAAACTGAACACATTTGATAAGATAATTGATACACAAACATGAAGTCTCACATGCCATTTATTACCGTCACTTTTCTGAGTAGAACAGCCTTTACATTTAATCTTTTTCACAAGTCAATCAAATGCCAAAATAGTAACAAAGGTATCTATTAACCTTCACCACACAAACCTCAAAATAGTGGTTACTAAACCATCTTAGTGTCTTTACTGAATAGGAGAAGTTATTATTTCTATTTTTATCCTTTAGCAATTCTGGACCAGTTTTCTTTTCTTTTTGCAGAGCACTTTTATTTCTTATCTCTCTTTATTGACTGTTTTGTTAGAAGTGCCTGCTGAGCATAATAGGATGGAGGAAGGAATGACCTTGCTCAAAATTGCTTCTAGCTACTACAGATGTTGTCCAAAAGAATTAAAGGCATCCCTCCACACTAATACAAGGAATTGAAGAAATACCAGGACCCAGTTAGAAAACAATACAGTAGCCCTAAAAATGTTTATCAGCTCTGCTTTTACCTTGCTCATCAAGAAGCTTTTTTGTGAGATCTTCTGCTTCATCTCCACAGTCTAACTCCAAGTTATCATCATTAATGTCCAAATTCTCCATATCCAACTCCAAATCCTCACTACCAGCAACATCCTTATTATCCTTGGCATCTTTTGAATCTGTTTAAAAGAAAGCAGAAATATTTTACATGCAATGTTAACACACGTAGACATGGCTTAAAAATATTTTTAACACTTCTCTGACCAATACATTAGTCTTATTTGTCAACTCTGGACTTTGTGCCATTTTTCATGTCGCCATGCATGCCTGGAACAGTCTTCCTAATTCACTCCCTTGTGTGATGTGCTTCTGTTAAAAGGTGCTCACCCCTTTTGAGTGTTTTGGTTTGTTCCCAATTGTACTTGCTGTGTCTTCATTGGGCTGGGATATGTTATTTATTAGGACACTATAGGTTATGTGTAGAATGCCTATGTTTAATATCCTGATTAAATAATAAACCCAAAATTGCAAAAGTGGCATCTGTTGAAATCCCCAGTGGAAGTTCAAAGTTTTAAATTTGAATGTCCAAGGATTTGCATGTCCAAATCAGGGAGAAAAATCCAAACAACTGGGAGGACCCAAGAACTTGAATACGTGAGTTTGCTGATAAACTCTGAAAGGCTGGCCAATCGTGCATAAAGTGAAGTTTTATTCTATTTTAATGTGTGGCACCCATGACATCACGTCATGCCAGAAGTGGTACAACTTCAGAACAATAGGATTGTGAAGCTGTTCTACACAGTCCAAGATGAGAGTGCAAACACTTAAGAGGCGAGACTACCTAGGGAAAACAGTGGTATCTTCCATGGAGATTTTACAGTTACAACATCCCCACCAAATCTGCCTGAAATGTGAGATATGCAAGGCCAAGCCTCAGTCCCCAAAACACTGCAAGTTTCAAAAAATTTACAATGAACTTTTAAGTATCTCCTTTTTGCTCCCATCAGAAAACACTGTACAGCAGGCATTTTTTGGCTTGTGTTATAAAGGAGGTTGGACTAGATGATCTAATACCCTGTTCTTGTTTTAAAATCTGTGAACTTATGATAAGAATCTGACACTAAAATATATTTTTGTTTTCTTAGATGACCATCTTAATTCATCATAGCTAGAGTTCTTACCCCCTAGTATGCCTAAGACTACAACCTAAACATAACCAGAAGTATTCTTCCTGGTTTTACTATTCTTCTGCATACTGTATCTATAATCTCTAAATTAAATTAGTTTGCATTTTATAAACATATAGCCCTCTTTTTAAAAAGTTTGATATAACTTATCTATTAATTTTCATGAACTAACAAAATATTTGATAAAACTTTCAAGTGGCATGTGTTTTATATGGAAATAGTATTCACTGGGGCACGCAATATGTTTAGTGGTTAGTACACAGGACTGAGGGTTTGTCTACACAGCAAGTTACTGCTCGTCAAGCCAGAATGTGAACCTACAGTACACCAGCTGGTACACTATAGATTCACACCATGGCTTGCCAAACAGTAACTTGCTGTGTAGACAAGCCCTCAGAGTCAAATGATTTGAGTTCTATTCCTGACAGGCATTAACCTTTGTGACTTAAGTTTTCCCTTTTACCGGAGAGGGGGGGGGGAAGAAGGAAGGTATGTTTTTACATCAAGATGTCTCTACTAGGTTTTTGCACTGAGATAGTTAAGGCACAGGTAGTTTTTACCTCAATGCAGCTAATCCTAGTCAATCCCAGGTGTGTTAGGAGTGCGAGTGGGATAGGGTTGACCTTGATTAGTTACATCAAGGTAAAAACTACTCCTGCCTTGTCTGCACTAGAAATTTGCATCAAGATAGCTAACAAGTTAATAATCTCAATGTAAAAAAACCCCATACGCTTCTTTGCAGTGAAGGCAGAGCCTTGTTTCTTTCATATATAAAGATACAAATATTAATACTTACCCACCAAAAACACACTGATATATTTGGGTGAAAAATGCTATCAGTGCTCATTTTTATTTATTATTATTTTCATAAAATAACTTTGTGTTCAGATTATCTATCTAGCATCATTTCTGTGCTCAAGATCATCCATCCTGGTGGAGTGTTCTGACTGCTATACAAATAATGATTACACCTCTACCATGACATAACGCGGTCCTCGGGAGCCCAAAATCCCTACCACGTTATAGGTGAAACCCCATTATATCGGGGTAGCGGCAGCAGGGCTCCAGCAGTGATTTAAAGGGTCTGGGCTCTCCACAGCGGCCAAAGCCCCGGGCCCTTTAAATCGTCAGCAGAGCCCCGCTGCCACAGCCCCGGGGTAGCGGCGGCAGGGCTCCAGCGGTGATTTAAAGAGCCCTGGGCACCGGCCGCTGCGGGGAGCTTGGGCCCTTTAAATCGCTGCCCGAGCCCCGCTGCCGCAGCTCCGGGGTAGCAGCAGCAGGGCTCCAGCTGTGATTTAAAGGGCCCTGGGCTCCCTGCAACAGCCGGAGCCCGGGGCCCTTTCAAATGCTGGTCAAGCCCCACTGCCGCAGCCCCAGGGTAGCGGCGGCAGGGCTCCAGCGCTGATTTATAGGGCCCAGGATTCCCCACAGCAGCTGGAGCCCTGGGCCCTTTAAATCGCCACCCAAGCCCTGCTGCTGGAACCCTCGGGGTAGCAGCAGCAGGGCTCCAGCTGTGATTTAAAGGGCCCTGGGCTCCCTGCAGCAGCTGGAGCCCTGGGCCCTTTAAAGCGCCGCCCGAGCCCCACTGCTGGAGCCCCGGGGTTACCGCGCTATATGCAAACCCATGTTATATCGGGTCGCGTTATATCGGGGTAGAGGTGTATTTCAACTAAAGACTTGTTACTTCTGCCAAACTTGCATGGCTGTTGACACAATAAAATTTTTTAAAAAGATCTAGAACATTTTCTTCCAAATTGTTTTACCTTTAGATTCATCCTTGCTGGAGTCCTTGTTCTGAGAACATTTTTCATTATCTTTAAACAAAATGGCTGGCACAAAAGCTTTTAGATCAATAAGGTTCTCATAGAAATTTCGAGCATCTTCATCTTCCCAGATGCCCCCTTCCAGGTCATATTCTCCAGGTTTGCCAGGGGTAAAAATGTCAATGCCAGGCCCATGTTCTGGAATCACAGAATGCACAAGTGACTAATTCATCAATATAATCATACTAAAAGAAAGATTTTCTTTTAAGCGAAGGGTTAAAGCTACATACAAGTTTCAGATCATCTAATTTTAAAAAGACAGACTTTTGGGTTAAACATTAAAAAAATGTTTCTCTGTTACTGCCACTACCTTGGCTTCTAAAATTGAAAGTTATTAAACACATATCCCCAGCATCTTAAAGTACAACCAGACTAGTCTCATTCAAGAAGAAATCAAAACAATAAAATTACAAAACTACATTGTGCAATCAAAAAGTTATCACAATTATATTAAACGAGATTGCTAAATGGAGTTATAGTAGAATTCATCCATATTAGCATCAGAAAGTGTTTAGATACATCATTTTGGGGCTGTTCATGCACCAACTGCCACAAATGTTTTATTTTCAGGAAATAAGTAAATGCTTGCAAAATCTGGAATATTGCAGTCCAGGGGTAATTAGTAAGGATGGATTAAAAAATGCTGGGGCCATGTGCACTATGGAAATTGGACCCTCCTCACATTCCTTAAACTAGACAGAGCACATGATATATAGTTTGTAAATATGAGAACATCTCATTTTATTACTAGTAGTTTGGAAAAGACTTAAAGAACTAATATGACATGTTAATAATAATACATCTAGGAATATTTCATTTAAATATATATTGCTTTTTTTTTTAATTGAATACTCACTCACTCTTTCTTGGCTTGGGTAAACATTTCCTAAGTAGATTAAGCGCTTGGAAGTATTTATGAAACGTGGCTTAGAAAGTAGCTTGACCATGCCTAGCTGACTCCCCAGTTATAGGGGAAAGACATTTTTGACAAAAGCAGAACTTGCCAGAGACCATACAGATCAGAAAACAGCAAGTACATTAGTGCATTGGATACCCGAGCCTCCTGCGTGAGAGTTGCTTTGCTGCCTTTTGGAAAACAGACAGGCTAAGAGAAGAATTTTACCAGCTCCTAAGGGAAAGGGGTACCGAGTCTCAGTTGGCTCTGGGCACACGTTTGATTCGAATCAAAACCGATAAGGGACTGACTCAGACACTGATTGTGGGACTGGGCTTCAGTAGCTGAATGAGCAGGAAAGGTAGTTCTTTTCCCCTGAGAAGAAAGATGGTCTTGGGTGTCAATGGCAAGCTACCAGGACCTGAAGAGGACACACTGGCTCTGATGGCTCATAATACCAACACCGGCAAGGAAGCAGAAGGAGCCAGAGGTGAGCTGAACTCCAAAAAGGGATCTGAGAAACCAGACCTCTCTCAAAGCCCCCTACACTTATGTGCCCAATTGCAGTGATAATCCAAGAGAGCTCCAAGGGGCCCAATTGCATAGGACACTAAACATGAGTAACGCAACAATACTGCGCCAGGGTACAAAGCCACTCACTGAACTTTGACTCATGGTGGGCGGGAGCAGTTGGGCCAATCTGATTGAGGGGATTGCCCATAGGGTTGCCACCTCCAAGAAGCAGAAAAACTAGACATTGCCCCTCCCCACAGCATCCTGACCCTCCTCTACCCCATTCAGTGCACCCCTACCCACCCACCCACAGAAGCCTGATCTTCCTGTTCCTCTCTCAGGCACCCCCACCCCTCCACAAACCTGCTAGCCCATAAGCCCCTACACCTACCTCCTCTCGGGAGCCTTAGCCCAGGGAAGCCCCCTACCACTCCCTCCCAAGCTCCCAGGAATCCCTTTCTCACCCACTCCGGTCCCCGCTTCTTACTCCTCCCTGCTGTTGAACCTCAGGTTTGCCCTGCTTTCTGGCAGTGAAAGGAGCAGGAGCTGCCACATGGGCTCATTGAGGGCCTGGCATGTGGAGTGGGACCTGGGTGTGGCACCAGTAGGCACATGACGTGAATGCTGTAGTGGAAGCAGCTGTGATGCCGCAGCGCATGCATGCAGCAAGGGTTGCCAGTTGCATTGTGCTGGGGTTTCCCCCCCCAACTTGTAACTTAGAAGTGGAAAAAAGCCCCAGCACATTGCAACCAGCAAAAGGGAAGAAAAACTGGTCAAGAGGGTTAAAAACCAGCCAGGTGGTCGGGGCCCCTGAGACTGGGGGCCCTGTGCAACTACACGCTGCTTAATTTGGGTCTGGCAATCATGGTAAGGAAACTGTTGGGATAATCACATTTCTTCTTCAAAACAGATTTATCAATTTTTTTTTAAGCTTGAGCATTTTTGGACAAACCTGAGGTCCATGATTTCAAGAATCTGAATATGTAAATATTAAAATTTGACAGCCATCAAGACTAGTGTGGCACATTAAATTTTTCCGTCATATTCAAAGGTCACAGGTAGCCATCTAGTGGCTTATCTAACAGGTCGTGCAACATTTTCCTAGCTGTATTTTGAAATACTTTAAAGGGCAATTAGTATATTTTAAAACGATATTGAATTGCTAAGCTCTGAGATGCAATTAACAGATAACTCTTCTAAAGCAGATTCAAACTACATTAAGAAGTAATTAAAACAAAGTGCCTTCTGTGCGATTTGAGAAACAAGGAAACACAACTAGTAAGGAAATAAGACAATTTAACTGAAATTTCATAGTATTTGTTTGCATATTTCTCTAGTAATCCATTCAAAATTTCATTTTAAACGCAGCTCATATAATCTTCAGATTCAAATGGTCTCTCTAATGTAAAATAAAGCCTGTGAATGACTAGTTATCTGACCAAGTAATTCTTATAAAAATAAATGATATATACTTACTTAAAGTGATGGGGAGGATTAAAGGTACAAATATGATTTTCTTTACATGGCACCCATTACCTTACCACCTTAATAAAGTCATCCTAACAGAGGTACAAGAGATTGCCAAAATTAATTAACACTTATAATAGTCCAATCTTTTTCTTTAACCTCCCATGTCCTTGGGCGCATAGGGCGCCCACCAGTTTCCACCATTTATTTTGGTCTTATGATGGCCTATTTAGGCTCAATAATTCACTGGAGGTTAATACATTTAAAATGAAGCTTTATTGGCGTACCCTGGAATGCTTTGCCCTATTCCATATATTTAAAATGCGAGAGGCTAAGCTATTAACATTTAAAAGGAAACTTGCACTGAAAACAGAGATCAATGGGAGGGTTTTGTTTTTTTTCCCATAAAGGAAAGTCTTCAGTATCGTATAACCTATCAACCCTAAAAGATGTCCTACCCTCTGGTGTTGGTTTGTCTTGGGGAAGATCCGGCATATTTTCATCCAACAGATCAGCCAGAGACTGAGTATTTGCCAACAGCTTCTGATAGGACATTGCAAATTCTTCATACTGCTTGTGTCGGTCTTCACTCAACTCTCCTTTAGAGTGCAGAATACGCCTATAAAGAGCACATTTAAAAAAAAAAATACAATCAGACACTGTCCGCTTATTAAAGATATATTTGACCTATACTGAACCATTGACAAAGTTTTCCACTGAACATCATCAGTCTTCCCTCTGGCACAGAATTAAACATACACACTAAATGAGATAGTAGCAATGAGAGACAACAATCTGGCTAACACTACTATCGAAATTCAACTTAATACCAAATTCGATAAACTTAAATATACTACAACCACAGCCATTTTAACTTTAATGCCATTAAGAATAATCCGATTATGGAGACTGAAAGAACTGAAGCTTTTTTCCCTTAAATATTCTGTAATGCAAGAGTTTTAATGTGCAATATTTTAAGTAAAATGTTTGACTAGTATTAAAGCAGGATAAAGACTGCTTTGCAGTCTATGACAATAGGCTTCCATTGTGCTGGTATCAGAAGGGGATGGTCATCACCAAGGGGCTCAGAAATGCCAGTTTTAAGAAGGAGACGTTTATTTCCAAGTTAGCCCAGTAACATGAGCTGACATCCTTGAAATAAAGTCTAAAAGAATTAGTTCTTAATGTACATTTTGGTTTCTTTTGCAGTACTATACCTGACAGTTTTTAATCAAGGAAAAATTTTAAATGCTGGTTTTAATCAAAACCTCTTTTCAAATACATTTACAAGTCCTAAATAGTATAGCACTCTTCTTATCATGGGAACTTTAGGATGATGTGGTGAGCAAAAAAAGGTTACTGCTTTCTTGTCTCACCTATTTAATTACAACTGACTCAGGTTAAAATTCTATGAGCCTCTGCTAGAAACACCATCCTACCATCATACCTTTCTTATGAAAGGAAGAGCAGAGAGTGATGGGTCAAAAATTTCCCCTATTAATCATATTTAAAATAGAGGCATGTGCACAAATGCTGTGCACATTTATATTTTCTACTCCATTATTTCTACACATCCTTTCTATTCTTCTGGGTGGGCACGTAAAACATACATGAAACTTTCTTTCTTAAAATATTGTTTAACTACCGTGCGACAATAAGTAATGTTCCTCGGGAAATATATGGTATATCAGTGGCTTATAGGCCACTGTCATAATGAGCCACAAAAAATAGATCAGGTTACTCTGCACCACCGGTTCTCAAACTGTGGGTTGTGACCCCAGAGCCAGCATTAGACTTGCTGAAGCCCAAGGCTGAAGTCGAAGCCCAAGTCCCCCCAGGCAGCAGGGCTCAGGCTATGGGTTGTGTAAATTGACTGAATTGGTCTCCAGGAGACAATGATCTTGGTGTGGACACACACAACCAACTTAATTACTGTGGTGGCTGGATATCGAGTTACATTAAGATGACTTAACTTTGTAGTGTAGACATGCCCTCAGCAAATACAGTCCCAAGTTAAGAGACCTCAGAAATGGCAACTAAGGCCTTGGCTACACTTACCGGCAAGTTCGACGGCTGGAAATCGAACTTCTGGGTTCGACTTATCGCGTCTAGTCTGGACGCGATAAGTCGAACCCGGAAGTGCTCGCCGTCGACTGCGGTACTCCAGCTCGCCGAGAGGAGTACCGCGGAGTCGACGGGGGAGGCCTGCCTGCCGAGTGTGGACCAAGGTAAGTTTGAACTAATTCGAAATAAGGTACTTCGAACTTCAGCTACGTTATTCACGTAGCTGAAGTTGCGTACCTTAGTTCGAATTAGGGGGGGTAGTGTAGACCAAGCCTAAGATGAAAGTTACCAGATATATTTGGGACATTGGAGCAAAGTTGTGGCCCTATTGTAGTCCACTGAAGTCAATAACAAAACTCCTGTCAACTTCAATAGGGCCAGGATTTCATCCCATCAACGGAAATTATTCCTTTTCAAGTCAGTTTCTAGTCAACTCCAGTTTCTGATTAATCTTTTATACAGTTTGAAAGACAAGATTGTTTTTTAGATTCAGACAGCAGCTGTTAAAAGCATACTGAATTCAAGTGGAAAAAAGCAAGATTAATCACAATGGCATGATATTAAGGTGAAATATCTGGTAGCTAGGTCTAGAAATAAATATTACATATACCCATAAAAATATCAGATTTTCATAATGTACTATTTGTTTCTAGCAATATTGATTTATAAAATTTCATATCTTAAAACCATGATTGGTCTACAGGAGCACTTCCTTGTCATTAGTTAAGGAAAAAAAGATATCAAGCCCTGTGCAATTTTTGATTCATATGCATTCTAAGCACATTTCAGTATTTGGCTAGAGCCACAGAACATGGATGTAAGCCATGTCATAAATCAGAAATACATTCTAGGCTTGAACAAAATCTCCTCCCCAAACTTGCAAGTATTCTGTGAAGGATTTTGTATTGTATTCTTTAGTTTATTTGGCTGCTCTCATCTATTCTAAATCAACATTTTAATAAATTAGTGTCAACGATATTTGTTAATTTATTAAACTTGCATCCTGGAGAAAACAACAATCTCTGGCAATTCCAGCTTATGGCAAAGAACCACCACCAATATTAAAGGCTGGCCTATTATATACAGCTGCATGTCTGTGTCTCTTTTACCTTTGATTCCTTGGAAATTAAAGTAACAGAAGCATCGTACAATGCAGAACAAGCCTTGTAAAGACCAAAGGGTGGAGTTTAAGCCAGTTTATGACTTTGGCATTACAAGACATCAAGTGGTAAATCATGCACCACACACTTCAAACAAGAAGTAACAATAGTAATCCTCTTGGGCTTTTTTAAAACCAAAAGAATAGAAATCATCAATTTGATGCTGGCTCTGTTTTTCTTAATATCTAGAAGACAATTGACAACACTCACATATCCACCCCAAACACTCATCCATTTAACCCCCACCTATAACAATTTTACATTCAACAACAAACACTTTGCCCACACCATGGGCACTAGGATGGCTCCCGAATAGGCCAAACTTTTCATTGGTCACCTTGAGGAAGAATTTCTGGACAAATGCACCACAAAACCAATGATATACCTGAGATACTCTAATGATATTTTCTAGTTTTTGACAGACGACCTAAACTTCCTCAAAGGTTTCCAACAAAACTTCAACAGCTACCACCCATCCATCAAACTCTCTTTAGAACACTACTGCACCAGCATCAACTTCCCGGACACCAGGATCAGCTTCAACAATGGAACCTTATAGACAACTACATGCAAGAAACCCATGGATCACAAACACTATCACAGATCCAGGAACCACCCAAAATACACCAAGAAATCTATTATCTAGAGCCAGGGACTCAGACACCACAGAATATGCTCCGGGAAGAAAGTCCAGGATACACACCTTTACACACTTAAAACCATCTTCACCAAACAAGGACACTCCACCAGAGAAGTAGATTGCCTCACTGAATGGGCCACCCAAATACCCAGAAAGAACCTGCTGGTCTCCTTTGCCAAGGGTATTCTCCTTGAGGCCTGTTCAGCTGATTCAGGGACCATTACACACAAGCGTAAGCTCACACCTAGGGCTAGTCTACACTAGAAGCACTACACTGGTGAAGCTGCCATAGCACATCTGGTGAAGACACTCTCAGGAGAGAGCTCTCCCATCAGCATAACTACTCCACCTCCACAAGAGGCATTAACTATGTCAGCAAGAGATATTCTCCCGCTGATATAGCGCTATTCACACCAGTGCTTATGTCGGTGTAACTTACGGCCCTCGGAGGGGTGGTTTATTCACACCCGAGTGCTGTAAATTATGCTGAAGTAAGTGGCAGTGTAGACGTTGCTTAAGAATAGGTCTACACTGCAATTAGACACCCATGGGCCTGTGCCAGCTGACTCGGGCTCATGGTGCTCTGACCAAGGGATTGTTTAATTGTGGTGTAGACTTTTGGGCTCACACTGCAGCCCGAGCTCTGGGACCTTCCCATCTTGCAGGGTCCTAGAGCGTGGGCTCCTGTCTGAGCCTGAACATCCACACAGCAATTAAACAGTGCCTTAGTACGAGCCCCACGAGCCTGAGTCAGCTAGCACAGGCCAGTCCTGGATTTTTAATTACAGTGTAGACATATTTAAGGGGCTCCAAGACTACTGCGAAATGGGCCCAATGTGCACTTTCAAATGAAAGATGACAGTATTTTCCCAGCTAGTTGTCCTCTCTGACTGGTTTTATAGTAGCTTGAATGGTGGTGTTAGTGGCATCTGACTGACCAGTTGTTACCAATGACCGAAAATTGGTCTGAACCCGATGCTGCAATTCAAAACAGAGAAGCCAGTAACTTGGAATATAATGTCAACTCCACCTTCCTGGGAACAGGCTGCATTACTATGTTTATCATCAATTTTTGACTACTAAAAGGAAGAAAAAGAAGGGAGCTGACCACAAGAGCATGGTACTCAATCAATATAGAATTACAGACTTTAAGGTCAGAAGCAGGGCTGGCTCCAGCTTTTTTGCCGCCCCAAGCGGCAAAGCGGGGAAGGGTGGGAAAGAGAGAGATATAACCGCAATCGGCAGCAGCTCTATTGCGCCGCTTCATTCTTCGGCGGCAGGTTTTTCGCTCGGAGAGGCACTAAGGGACCTGCTGCCGAAGACCCGGTCGTGCCGCCCCTTTCCATTGGCTGCCCCAAGCACCTGCTTTCTTCGCTGGTGCCTGGAGCTGGCCCTGGTCAGAAGGGACCATTATGATCATCTAGTCTGACCTCCTGCACAATGCAGGCCACAGAAGCTCACCCACCCACTCCTGTATAAAACCTGTGTCTGAGCCACTGAAGTCCTCAAATCATGGTTTAAAGACTTCAAGGTGCAGAGAATCTCTAGTTGTTAAAAATGTCATACAATTTCCAGGCATGCCCAAACGGCTTCAGCGTTCAACTGATCCAGGTAAGTTTCAATGGTAAAACAAAGTAAAATAATAATAATTAGGGCTGTCGATTAATCGCAGTAAACTCACGTGATTAACTAAAAAAAAATTAATATAAAAAATTAATAGCGATTAATCTCAGTTTTAATCGCACTGTTAAATAG